TGCTGCTTTCCACAATCTCGATTATTCGCTAGGTAAAGGCTTCCTTGTTGTGACGGCTGTGAAATACTCGTATCTATAATATTATTATACGTTGAATTTCATTAAATACAAGAAATATAAAATATTTTTTCTATTTATTTTAGTGTTATTTCAATACGAGTATATAATTATTATTTTAATTCACAATTAAAAGTAATCATTTAAATTAATATGTTTATTTTTTTAATTTCCTGATTTATATTTAATATACCTATATATAATATTCCAACATTAAAATCGAATAATACATCAAAAGTCTACATAGATATTCGATTTTATAACGATTAGTTATATGCCGAATATTTTTTTATGTAATTTTATTAAAATAAAATATGATTATTTTAATTTAATAAATACTTATCAGTAGTAAGCAGATTGGACTGAGAATTGATATATCATTGGGATATTTCAACGAACACCACGGTGCTTTGTTTTACTAAATTGTGACAAACATCTGTACAACGTAATAAATTAAAATCTAGCATAAAATGTACATATATAATGTATAGCTACACTATTCCTAAGCACGAGGTTTTAATAAAATAAACGTGCAATAAAACTGTCATTTTTTCTTTTTTGATTACATATTTGGCTAATCAGTGTTTATTAAATGCCACTCTAGTTTTTATTTTATAAAAAAAAATATTATAAAAAAAATCAAAAACTACTAGTGCGATCTTCTGTTTTCTTTTCGAGAAATAAGCCTTTGTTAGATTTTATAACCTTATATTTATATTATTATAGGTATCTATCATCACACTACGAACTTTACGATCAAACAAATTACGCGGGAGATATCGCAGTCAAATGCTAGTCATCCGCACTTACTCATTTAAACTTGGCCAGATGCTAGAACTTTAAAGTTTAGAAGGTGCAAAAAAAATATTTTTATTTTTGTATGAAAATAAAAATGTAAGAAATATATTTTTTTCTTGTTACAGATGTTGTTGTTATGGTGTAAATAGCATATTCCCAAAAGGTTTTCAGTAAATTAAAAATGACCCTGTATAAAGGCAATAGTTCTTTACAAAAAGGATTTAATTGAGAATTTATAAATAAATACACGAGTATATTATAAAGCTTCTTTATTTAACGTCATATTTTGCAAAATAGACAAATATACATTTTGATCGTCATTTCACTTAAAAATTCCGCAACATTTAACAATAATATATTACATAGTTACACACGCACTTTATATTTACTAACATAAACAAAAATTACAGATATTTCTTTAAAAAAACAATGGAAATTAAGATTACAGATTCAATAATATTCACATTAAATAATCATAATACGTATGTTGAATGAAACTCCAAAATAAATTGTAACGCTTTACAAAGTTACAAATCTAATTATTGTCGTGGAGCCTTTTTCCCTTTTATAATTCATAAAGAGTTTATGCAATGTTCATACAAACATGAAATAAATTCAAATGTTTAATGGCTTCATTACACTTATATACGATATCTTACGTCAGTTATTATTTTTAATTATAATTCAGTTGAAATATGAGCTTGATTTAAATAATGATAGCATTAATAATAATAATAATGTCCTCCCGACCGAATGCGGCCACGGCGGCCAATCTCATTGAGACTAGCCATCTGCGCAGGAGATACTATAGCGCACAAGTGTACGCGCAGACACAAGTGCACTCTATTCCTGTCACTCTCATACTCCAATGGGACGACTACCGGACTCGACCGATGAAAGTTAAAGCGCAGGGGACCGACAGCTTTACGTGCTCTCCGAGGTACGGATGTGAAACACCGCCAACTTCCCAACTCCGTCCGGGTTGTTAGTGAAACTTAGTGAGCAGAAAGACTCAATAACTAAACTTGGCCCAACCCGGGGCTTGAACCCTGGACCTTCGAATATGCAGCCGTACATGCTAGCCACTACACTAGCGAGCAGGCAGGGGGGATATCATTAATATCATTACAGTGTATGAAATGATGACGTATTTTAATAATATATAAGAAAACACTTATACAGTTAACAAAATTTAATTATTGATTATTTTTCAATTAGAGTAATATAATACAGCTTAATTAATATAATCTTCCTTTGAATTGAATTGGCTAATTTATTAAATCGTTATGTACTCAGTAAAAGATTTTTCTATAAAACTGAAAAAAAAATGAATCTAGGCATTGTCAATTTTTTGTTGACGTTTTCGTTACAGGTAAATAAAAAAGATATAGGTACGTTGCGAATGATATAAGCCGTTCAGTACCTGTTTCTCCTGTTTGTCAACCAATTTATTGTTTAGTAGCTTATGACGAGCTTAGAGTTATAATTTTTTTTTGGATGAAATCAAAAAAATAATAATGCCATTACGAAAAAAAATTGGAAACAGTTTTTTTTATATGGATAGGTAAAATCTATTCATATACGTTTTCCTCAAAATTTAAATAATGACTATGGTTTGAATTTAGACCACAGGGCAAACACTAGTTATAATAAAATGATTCAAACAAATAAACCGTATTAATTTTTAATGTTAATTTTGTTTAATTTTGACTGAATACATACGTTTCGAAAAACCATATCATATGAAAATTTTCTATAATATGTTAAATTTTTTATAATTTAAAGCAATTGTATTATGAAATAATTAGCTTTCAAATTAAAATATTGTCCATACGATTTCAATCCACATTGAAAAAAAGTAATGTCAGCATAAAAAGACGTACACAAATCAAATATTTGTATACTACAATGAGCTTTTAATTTATTATATGTAAACTTCAATAAACATAAAAAGAAACTTTGCAGCTAATATAATAAAAATACATTTGAAAATACTTGTTAGTGTTCTATAATAAAAATAAATTAATAACTTACACGTCTAAATGATTCTTATTATAGTTAATTACAATTTTATGACTAGCTCTCATAAAGGAAATTAATCGCACCATATATTTTCTAATATTATTCTAACATCGTTATGGCACTAAAGTTGTCACTTCAAAATCCGCCAATCAAATACTGCGTGAATAAGTTGGCAAAGACACTATGATTTTCATGTTATATTTTACATAACTTGCTATTAGTCTAAGATCCCGATCTATGTGGTAGACCCAGTGCTGGATTTACACTAAGGGTACTCGGGGCTAGTGCGCAGGGGGGCAAATTTTCGAGGCGGCAAATTTCAGAGAGTGAAATTTTTTTATCTTAATGTTACTGAAAATTCTTTTTGTATTTTCCAAAAAAATATTAATTAAAAAAAATACTAGTACATTTTTTCGAAAAATTGAAAACAAATATAAATAAATGATTTTTTTGCATTTTTCAAAAAATATATAATTAAAAGAAATTACTTTATCGAAACGTAATCCACTTTATGCAAAATTTCGATAATGGGGCTGTATTTTTTATAGTGCCCAGGGGCAGCGATAAGGTTGAATCCGGCACTGGGTGGATACCTCATTCTTTTTCCAGACAAAATATTATATTTTTTAAACCATAAAACATATTAACAAACACGAGCCAGGGGGTAGTCACCAAAAATTTGCTCCAGACTCGTTCGGGATCTCCTACTATATATTTCTACTTATTTACTAAAAAAATAATACACGTTTTTTCTATTTTCAAACATTAAAAAAATAGGTACTAAACAACTGAATTTGAAGTTATCAATTTATTCACGCTTTGCATTTTCTAAGATATTACGGACTCTTGCTCTTACACTCCAAACGTCAACGTATTGGTCATATTACTTATTTATAAAAATATGCTTTTCCTTATATTTAATATTAACAATCATTACAACAAGCTTTTAGGTCTGGTGTCCACTAAGATGCTATTTACATAACTCTGAAATGGAAAATAAAACCTTAAAGAGCAAAACCAATTACTATTTAAAGAGAGCCAAAAAAACAATATACAGTCAAAAGGAATATACTATTATAATATAGCATATAATAGAAGGCCTTAGTGGACAATAGTCCTAACATAATAATTGGTAACTTTAACTAAACACATCCATCTAGTATTTTGACGAAGCAATCTATATATGTATGTAATTGTGCATATTATTTTATTAGTAACAGAGTTTTATTAGGAACAAAAGTACAGTAGTGAAGACATTGACAACATTATTAATAAATGGAGAATTCTTGTCACACTAACGTGCAATTTTTGTTGAAAACATTTATTAATAACGCGTATGTTTAATAAGACTGATATTTTCTAAGAAAATATGTTTATTTTTCTATATAACATTATTTTTTTTGTTTCTTTCTGTGAAAAGCCTTTACAATTCATAACAAAAGTATAATAACGGGTTGCAATAATAAATTCAAAAATTATAATGAACGTATTAGTGAGTACCGGCACTGTATAATAGATGTAAAAGGAAAAATGTTAATTTCTCTTGGAACAAGGCAAAAAGCTATCTTAATATCTTGTTTTTCGTTATTCTTTTGTTTGCGGAAACGAGTACAAATTATTCTCTTGGTCCATTTACCTGGCACACATTGTTTGTTCCATGAATATATTACTATTCAGAGAAACGGTGCGCTTTATCACAAACTTTACTCCTTCTGGGCCATTTCTTGAGGAACTTTACGAAAACAGTATAAGTAATCGCGAAAATAATTCGGAAGCAAATAAACAATTTAAGGCGCTATCACAGGTTATATGATTTAGAGTTTTTTGAATGTGTTTGAACAGTGTTTGAACAGTTAAACTAACTGAAATTTAAAATTACATAATATAATAAACATATGAAAATTGTCCAAGCAACCATGAAATTTTCGTTACCATCAAAAATACTATAACGTAAAGTATTAGACAGCATTAAATAGTAATAAATGGTATTCTAAATATGTTTTCTAAAGCATTCGTCCAAACCCAAGCAAGTGTGGTAATACTGTTACTTTTATCAGTCTCAGCGTCGCTCGCATTGAATTACTCCATACAAATGGTCCATTTACATAGTCATTGTATCACTACACGTAGTCCCTTCTTCCCGAACCACAGTCGATGCTATTCCTGTCACTCACCACTGACACCTCTGACTCATCTTTTTTCCTTTTGCACGTTTTGCAAAGTTTTGAGATCTGTAGAAGAAATTATTAATGAAATATTTATAATCTATAATATGTACATTGAAGATTTCTTGTAAATAATAAAATAATAGGGTCGCGGATTTTGGCAATGATCATTAAGAAATAGATCATTAACAATAGACTATATAAATAAAAACGGTCAAAACTATCATTTCCCCTGTATGAAAATGGAACATACGATCTTGTATATATTTTCAGCCAGGCAAGATTAGTATAACAATTTAATTCCCAAAAGTTATGATAATATCATTTTTTTCAAATGGCTTCAAATATAGTAATGTAAATGTGTGAAGTCAAAATTAATGTGACGAATTAATTAATTTATCAAAAATTATAAGTCTTATATGAAAACTTTTATTTATTAGGGTTCGGTACCTCAAAAGGTAAAAAAGGAACCCTTATAAGATCAGTCTCTTGTCCTTCTTTCCGTCTGTCTGTCCGTGTGTCACCACCGATTTTCGCAGGAACGGGTGAACCTAGCAAGTTGCAATTTATACCAGATACTAAGGTCTGTAGTCCCTATTAGATGCATAAAAATCAAGCTCCTGTCGGAGTCACCACGATAAAAAGATAAGGGCTTTAGGTTTTCGCGAAAACTCGTAAGTACCAAAATTTATCTTAATTTTTATTTTTTTTATTTTTCGGAATTTTCTCTTTAATCCTTGTGTTTTGCATTTAATTTTAATTAACCTTGCTTTTAATCAAAAGTGACAATTCTAAGTCAACTAGAAGTACCCTATAGGTTTTGGGTCGAAAACCTATATAGCAGTTCCTGTTGACCTAGAATCACGAAATTTTCCAAAAAGTCTTACAGCACAAATAAAGGAAAAATTCCAAAAAATAAAAAAGTTAAAAATTAAAATTAAACAGATTTCCTACAAATTTGTACGAAACCCTCGGTGGGCGAGTCCGACTCGCACTTGTCCAGATTTTTTTATTAAGTTAAAACAATATTTAATTAAACATTTGATAAGAAAGAAATATTACTCATAACTATATTCTCATTTAATATTAGAATTTGTAGATGTTAAAGACAAATCTTTTTCGTGTGACCGGAAAGAGAAATTATTTGTAGATAAATAAATTAAAATAGCAATTGATTTCCAGTTTAGATTTTTTTATTACTTTAACTTACCTTAACAAAAGAACGGACGGGCTGTTGTAAAACAAATATGCCGAAAATTACGACCCCTTGCAAAGCGTTGATTAGGTCAAATATGGACCACACAGATACTGCAGATGTACCAGTTCCGGCTGCCCATGACACCACTTCTAGGACCCAAGATAGGCCCATTATGATGGACAGAAGACAGCATGTCCGAAATCTAAATAAATTGAATATCAATTAATAGATATATTATTTATTTATTTTAGTTCTATAATTCTATATTATACCATTTGTATTACAAATGTGAGTTTTTGAAAATGTTTCGATGTTCCGATAAATCGATAAACTAACTAAATTGAAACTTGACACAGAAATACCATGTCCTGGACATAAAATACTTTTATGCCAGCAAAAATAAAATGGAAGTGGAAAATATGTAAGAAATGTAAGAAAGAAAAGTTCATTAAAATAGGTTCAGCCGTTTTCGCATAATTATATAAATGGACTAAATATGTATAGGTATAGTAAATATCTAATAAAATATTTTGGTATCGTCAGTTAAATCTTCTCAAATAATTATTTAACAAAATGGAAAAAACCGTCCATTAGCAACAAGACATTTTAATCAAATAAGCTTAGGCCTAACGTTTATAAGAACAAAGAAAAATGAATTTATATTATAATTCCTTTCAGATTAGGCAATAATTTAAAAGTCTACTAAATGAATAAAGTTAAAACATAAAAATAATATTACCTAGCAACATTGAAGTTAATTTTAATACATCTGATGGTACTTTAATTTAATTTTTTTTTTAAATTAAAATAAGAAGGTAACTTTTAAATTAATTATAGTATTTTTAGTTATTTAATATGAAATACAATAATAATATTTTTTATAATAATAATCGCTTTACTTTGAACTTTTATTTTTGTAATAAAATATGATATGTACATACGACTTTTTCTGAAGGAAGCCTCTTTTGAGGGATACTAAAAATATCAAAATATTAAAAAAATCAAAAATATTTTTTTTAAACCGTCCGATTTGGCGTGGAATACCCCCATATGCTTTATTCCAAAGAGTTATTTCATAATATTTCTTTAAATAATGCCCATTTGTAAATTTTAAATAATCTAAATTTTAAGAGGCTAAATGAAAACAAAACTAAAATACTCATAACCTTTTTGTAAAATATAACGTAATATTATTTATACTTAAGAATAATAAAAATATTTTAAAATTTAATGTTTTCAGACCATTAGAAGTATTACATCATAAATTTACTTCAGTGTGAAATTTATTGTATCAAATAATAAAGTAGGAACAGAGTGCCATCTTTATCTTATATGACAGCGAAATAAACTAGTTCATTTGACGTTTGCCTGATTTTCTTATATCAGGAATTTGTAAAAGAAAATATTTTTAATAAAATATAAAAGAATTTATTACTATATTTTCAAACATATTAAATTCAAAACATGAAAAATTATATTGTAGTTATGGCTTTATGACGTTATGCTATTTATCATTGAAGAAGAAGACACAAAATTGGCATTGGTACACAGTACAACTTACAAAGCTAGTTTTTAAAACTTGCTAGATTCCCTTCAGACATTCATGTTTCCAAACGATGTTTTCCTTCACCGTAAAACAAGTGATAATCACGTTGGAAATGATTCGCAGATAAAAGTATCAGAGGTGCGAAATCCGGGATTTGAAGCCGTTTCACTCGGTTTTCCGAGCGAGCGCACTATCATTGGGCTATCACTGCCTTAAAAGAAAATTACTTACTAATAAAAAATACTTACATTTTCTTATATTTCTTCAATCTTTGAGTGAAGGTTATTTGCGTATCCCGCTGTGGGGATGAGTTCCGTTCTTGCACTGGTACTGGCTGTCCTAAAACTGTGCCGAGTCTGACCCAGTCATCTGATGTACTGAAGTCTGAATGTGCTATATCTAATGCTGTATATAAAAAAATAACATAAAAGTTAGGTCTTTTATGTTATGCTATATCTGCAGGAATTAGTTTTTTTATCTGAGGTCGCATATAGTACCTAGATGTTTAGATATAGTAACTCGTCACGCGTGAACTTAGCCAAAATTAATATCAACGAGAAAAAACAATAAGAGGATAATCATAATATCTAGAATCTCGGTAAACTGTATTGCAAACGCATCTCTAAGCCATAAAGAAAAAAAACCATATTGCACCTTGAAAATTATTATCATGCGTTAGATGTCTATCACTTAGATTAAAATAAGGTCAATGAATTGTAAATTAATTATGTTGATAAAAGAAAACTAATTAATTATTTAAGAAATATTATTAAATATAGATATGTATGTGTTTGAACTTTCACTTGGAAGTTTTATTATCTATACTAATATTAATAAGAGGAAAGATTTTTTTGTTTCTTTGTTTGTACCGAATAAGCTCTGAAACTACTAAGCCGATTTATACGAAATTTGGTAAAAAGATAGTTTGAGATACTGGGAAGGACATAGAATAGTTTTTATTCAGGAAATCACTTCATAAGGGGGTGAAAATAGGGATTAAAGCTAATTAGTTACAAAAATATAAAAATTAAATAAATGTACTTACGTGTAACATCCTTAAACTTATCATAATGCTTTGCAAAAGCTCGTGAAGTAAACAAAAATATGACAAGATTACTAAACAAGATGACCGCCACAGGCCCATAAAAATAGGGTAATGCCGCCTGGTCCGCTAAAAGAAAGGTAATTTAATTAGCTTTTGAAGCCAAAGAAAACATTTAACTTGCTTATATATTTTAAGAAATATAAAAATTCTTTATACATCCTTTAAAGATTTACAACAAAAAATAATTTTGTGTCTCATACTCATGTTGTTTCTCATACTATTTTCTTATGGTATATTTGAAAATTTAGAAACACCATTTAACAACACAATATAAGAAGAAATAAATAAGAATAGTTTATTCGAGAGGTCAATCCAATGAGCCTAAATATGATATCTCTGCAGTATTTTCGTAAAGAGTTAAGTATCTTGCAAATTCCAGATGACACTGCAGCGACAGTCTAAGGTTACCATATCGTTAAAATGTCATTGAAGAAACGGGAGATCAAGTTTCGTATCGATTAGATCTACAGAAGTTGCTCATATTCTTTTACCGTCTCGAAAAGAGCTGATATCTGCTAACGGCTGAACGGATGTTCTTGATTTATAACTAAGAACACTCTCGAACAAGTCAACTTAAACTAAACAAACTAAATTAAAATCGGTTCATCTCTTTGGGCGCTACGAAGCCATAAACAGACACACAGATACTCTTACGTTAAACTTATAACAACCCTATTTTTGCATCGGGGGTTAAAAATAATGTCTTCTATCTGTAACTTCTATGTACTTTTCTATACTTACTTTTAAACCAACAGCCTTTAACTCCAAAGTTAGGTTTTAAATATGTACTAGGTACAGCTGGTGACAAATCCATTGTAATTGTTACTACAAGCAAAATAATTGGTAATAGAATTGCGTATGCGCAGTACCACGCAAATCTTCGCCTCATACTTCTTCTGCTGACCGATGAATGTATGTATCTTCTAGAATAAAATATGCATTTTAATTTAAACAAATTTTAGCTACGGTATTTGTTAAGACAAAGGTAAATTAAAAGTTTCAAGTGCGAATCAGACAAGTGCGAGCCTGACTCGCACACCAAGGGTTCCGTCAAGGGTTCCGTAGCAGGACACATTTAAATAAGTTTATAATTGCAATAGTTTTTTTGCGATGTAACCACAAATTTACGTTTACAGATTTTTTCCTTTACTTGTGATATATTTCAACATATGTATATGTAGATATTTTCGACTTGATACCTCCACGGGTCCTTAAGATAAAGTGTCTTAACAGACTGACAAACGGACAACGAAGTTATCCTCTAAGAGTTCATTTTTCCTTTTGAAGTGCGGAACCCTAAAACGGTATATAATATTTGAATAAAAAAGTAATACATATACGAACTCTTACCGTACGTTTAAATAAGTGTCGAAGCACATAACATTTAACCAGAAGAAACAGGATACAAAGGAAAACTGGATTAAATAAGCTGAAATAAAAATAAATAGTTTTATACACATAATATTTGACACAGTATTAATAGTAGTCACCGATGAAAACACCTTCAAAAATAAGTCCGTCTAACATCGATTTTGTAAATTATTTTTTCCTAGTACGATTCTAAGGTACTGATTTATTTAACATTTATTTTAACTGACTTCAAAAATAGGAGCACATAATTGAGGTATTTTTTCATGTTAGATACTTCATTTTTCGCCATTCATGAAATGATTCACATAATCCTTAATTTAACGTATAGGTAACGCCTGAAGGGTAATTAAAAAATTTTATACCCAAGGGTTGAGTAATTAATTTAAACTTACCCATTATGTTACAAGCAGTAGATGGAAACGCATGTCCAGCTAATTGAGTGGCAGCTAAGCAGCTGAACGCTATAGCGAGGCAAATCGAATGACATGCCAACGCCTTGCCATGTGTGTCCCTCAACTCAGTAATAAATAAGTACACACATGCCGTAGCCAGAAGGAACGGCACTGATATTATCAAACCTAAAATAAATAATAATGTTAGACTTAGATATATACACTCAGGTTTATTAAAATCCGAAAATAGTACATATAATTACTTATTTCGTAATAGCTATTTACTTTTCAGCATTTTTCACAATTGTTACCCTACAATAAGTAAATATAATTGTTAACAAATTTTATTTACTGACCGACTTCCAAAGATATTTTGTGTGTGTTTTTGTGATGATGTGATGACGGTATGATTATAAGGGTATTTTCATATAAATTTCAAACAAGTTCCACCTTTGAGTTTGGAATTATTACTCTATATTTCTGGAATAATCAGACAAAAATAACAATCTTACCTGTAGCATAGGCAATAAGAGTAGCAGAAGTTTTGATTTCCTCTATTGGCGACGAAAAACATACTAAAGGTAATGTAACCCCGGCTGGATAAGACTCATTCCAAAATGTTTCCATACAAAAGTCTCTAGTACCGAGTAGGGGTGGATCGCTAAATGGCACGAATAGGGAGCCGTTGAATAAAAGATAAAATTCATCTTTACTGTATTTGTCTGGTTCTAATTTGTATCTGCGGAAAAGAGGATATATAAATATACTAATGACTTACCCTCGCTTCCTACATTTTTATTATATATTAATAATAATAAAATAAGTTTATTTTGTGGTCGAACTTGTGAAGCCGAAAATATTCTGTATCCCAAGAAATATTCAAAGTATTTCTGTAAAATTTTCCTTAAAAGTATTTTGGAAGCTTTATTCTCACAGTTTCTTTAGAAAATTACAATACTTTAAAAGTTAGAGGGGGAGACCGAATATTTACAACTATAGTAACATAACTCAGCAACTATTGCTTGAATAAAAAGACACTTAAAAATATCTATCATGATGGAATCGTAAAGGTTCAGTTTTTGCCTTTAAAACCTGAACATGACTGCCATTGTTAAAAAATATAACTTTAAATTTAACTTTTGTTTCCAACAAAGAGTATAATCTGGAGAACTTGATAGGACAAGTTTAGCAGTTGGTTCCAGCTTAACAAAAAATTTCCTACACAAATTGCAAAGAAACTTGGACGTTAGTGGTTGTTTTAAAGAAAATTATGAACATGTTTAAGTAGTTTTTAACGTGCAATTACCTGTCGTATGTGCAGGGATTCCCAACGATTGTCTCGAATAGATTGCTATCGTAACTCCAAATATGTGTTTCATTAGCTTTATGGAATATCGGTTGGAAAGTGAGTGCGGACCGAGAGCATACACTTTTAAATTTACCATCTTCAAAAGTCACAGATAGATTTTGCCCGCTTGCACAGCATTTTGGTACCACTGGCAACTGTTTCTTTACTTCCTCGTCCTGTGAAAAACATCGCAAGATAAAATAATTTTGAAGGCTACGTTAAATAAACATCATAAATTGGGTCAACCGCATAAAAGACAATTTACAATAAGGACAAGTTAATTTGGATGTCGTTTCAACAATGATATATAGTACGGATCATATGACAAGTGCCTAATCAAAATTCAAGACGAGTATTCGAACTTTTGATGTATTCATGAAAGAAATTTGACTGAGGTTAACTGACGCAATATTCTCCTTTAAAATTGGTCACGTAAACGTCGATTATCATATTTAAATTGTGGATTTAAAACTTTTATATTAGCTCTAATTGATCATTTAATTCGTTATCTTTGGCAAATAAATATGTTAATAATCTAAGAACTTCTTCATTCTATTCCAACTACAATCCATACTGATATTATTAATGTGAAAGTAACTCACTGTGTTTGTTTGTATGTTTTTTACTACTACTAAACGGCTTCGATTTAGATGATAATTGGTATAGATAGTTTGACACCCTAAAATTTGTAATGACATAAAACAGTTTTTACCCTGGAAATCATCATGGAGAGAGGAGGGAGGGGGGGGGAGAGGTATGGAGAATCAGTCATTTCTCAAGTGAGGGATATAAAACTCGTAATACCTATGTATATATATAGTCTATCTATTCCATACTAACTGTTAAAAGGGACCGTACCTAGGGACGAACCTAAGCGAAGCGAGGGTGAGTCGCTAGTAAAAATGTATACACGTTTTATACAATTTATACAATTTCATTCACTGTTCTTATTTGTTAGTTGTTCATTTTGGATTAAATGATACAACGAAGAACTTGATATAAACCACTAATTAAGTATCTCTAAAATTAAATTGTAGCTTATTTCATATTTAAGCAACAAATATTTTGTTTAATAATTTCTACTAAATATTAAAACTAAGTTATATACTTATTTTTATGCTTAGGGTTTTTTATTCCCTTAGAAAATCATAGTATTTATTGTTTATTTGTCTACCCTAGTTACCCTATTTCTAAATAATAAAATCCTAAAGATATTTTTTATTACCTCTTATTCCAGTATTCTATGAAAAATGAAGGATTATAAACGTATTAAATTGACATAATATAATAATTAACCAATTGGTAGTTATTAGTTATTGTGATGGGCAACTATGTGCCCATCACAATAATGCGGAATAAGAAGAGGGTTTTTGTTTTTTTCATACTATAAACATTTAACGTTATAACGGCTCATAGTAACAAGTATCTATATATGTAATAAAATTGTAACTAAGCCGAATCTTTACATTAAATATTTTTTGGAAAATCTTTTTGAAATAAACATTATTAACGATACAGAGGCCGAATCTATAGTTTTTAGAATTTTTGTCTGTCTGTCTGTCTGTTACCGCATCACAGAAAGACCACTGGAGGGATTTTGATGAAATTTGGTATGGTGATAGCTGGTTATCCGGGTCAACATATAGGAGACTTTTTACCGCGGGGAAATGTCTCATTTCTGAGAAAAAATACAAAAACTGGAATGTAAGAGTATACTAATATCTAACACCTAATAATTTGGTTTTTGGTCATTTGAACGCGGGCGGAGCCGCGGGCATTGCTAGTATTTTATAAGTTACACGGACGGACATGGCGAAACTATAAGGATTCCTTGTTGACTATGGAACCCTAAAAACGCACCACAATTTTAATAACTAAATCATAATGAATTTCAATAGAAAGTGGATTAAATTGGCTTGTCAAAAAATATACTAACTTCAGATCTATGTAAATTCTTCTGTCATCAAAAATTGCCTTATTACTAGTTCCCGGCACGTTCCTAATAAGAGCCATGATGCGTACGTACTTATGTTTGAATAAATATCAAGGTTAATATAATTTACCTCCCTATTTAAATAAAGATGTCCTTATAAAAATATGCTATACAAATAAAATATTAAATTATTTTGTTATATTGTATTCAGCCCTTTTCGACATCCCAATGGGCCTCCTTTCAATACGAGAGGGATCAAGCTATAGTCCACTACGCTGGCCAAGTGCTGGTTGGCGGACTTTATAAAACTTTTGTTTAGTTATATAAGTAATATTTTAGTAATAAAAAAAAATAATGATTAAATTCAATAGAAAAAATAACATTTAAAATAACGAGGTAGGTATTAAGACTAAACAAACGTAAAGTAAGCAAAAGTGAACAGACGCAAACACCGGTTGAGAAATACGTCCCTCGCCAAGTTCGAAACTTGCCGGCTTTCGGAAACAGAACAATTTATTTTATACGGGCTTATACGAGTTTTTCCTTTCTAAAAATATTCACTGCGGGAACAGGAGGTCGTGACGTCACTGTCAACTAGCGGTACAATTGCGACAGGGAAACCTGTAAATATTTACATTTCCCTCGAAACTTTCAACGTTGCTCAATTACCGATATTTTCGGATTCGCACTATAACAGAAATTTGCTCATTTATTCAGAAGTCCGATGTAAATTTTTTATACACGCTGTCTGCCTAACTGAATAAGTGGAGTCACAGCCGCCGAAGAAACTTCGCATTGATAGCAATCAGACTGGCATTATATTTTAAAAATAGAGATAGCTTTATACTTTATACGTACAAGCTTTTCCAGCGACATTAATATTGAGTATATTTATATATATTTCATAGCTACTAGACATGCTGCCTTTTATATGACGCCTTATAGAAGAGCGACGTTCGTTAAAATCGACCCATTGAAATAAAAACACTGTAAGTTTTAGTGTAAGCTATACACTTATATAATAAAAAAGTCCTATTATAACTCGCCGAATAGTTCCTGAGTGAATAAGCATGTACAAATAAAATGTTATCCTGACCGTTTTCGGCCACAGCGGCCAATCTCATCGAGACTAGCCACGACCTGTGAAAGTTAAGGCGCAGGACCAACGGCTTTACGTGCTCTCTGGGGCATGGGGGTGAAACATCACGAACTTTCCAACTCCGCGCTGTTACTGAAAATTTCTTGAGAGAAATATTCAATAACTGAACTTCGCCCGACCCAGGACTCGAGCCCCAGGACCTCCGGAACTGCAGCCGCACATGCTAGACTAGACCACCGAGGCAGTTATAGTTGTACAAATAGATTTGTATCTGTATTTTTGTTTTTGTAAAAGAAGCAACATTAACAATCTGTAGTTTTATTATATTATTTTTAAATAATCTGATTTATACCGTTTTACTTAATATTTTCAGATTGAGGAGCAAGCTACATTTAAAACTTGAGCCCATTTCAAGAAAGGGAAAAGGAGAGTGTATTTATTTAATATGTTTATCACTTTTATCGATTTATCTTACAGAACTCTTAATTAACTGATCAGATAATACTACATTATTCATCCGATGGCAAATTAATCGTAAAGTCAATCAACTGCTTTAAGTTATTTACCTTACAATAAAGTTTTTTCCGATATGTGACTATTTGGCTGTGCTTTTTGAAAGTGTATCGTTAATGTCCAAAAGTAGAAAAATAATAACAGTAAAGAATGGCACTAAATTTAAAGAAAATATGTTAAATAATGGGTATTCCTTCTCTTTATCCATTTTCAAACCCTCAACGTTGAATATGAAGTAACTCTTTCTAAGTGCTTATACGATATGTACACTCATATGTATATATATATATATATATATATATATATATATATATATATATATATATATATATATATAGAAATTCTAGTCCTCTAAATCAAATCACTGGATATGATCTGTACGTTCATGAACACTGGCTTAAGCAACAGTCGGGATATGTAATTTTATATTTTGTCTACAAACATATAGATAAACTAACTTATTAACTAAGTTATATTTCTACAGTGAGTCTTGGTATCGATTTAGGCAAATGATTTAATTTACCTTGCAAATATCAATTTTCTTAACACTAACGTTGGTAATACCAGTCGCTATAGATATATTATCTTGGCATGTCGGTAAGTGTGGAATACATATAGTACATCAAGTTTTTTACTACTTTTGAAAAGTTATAAAAATACTACACATTTAAAAACCCTCGCTAGTCTACCGATTCTATGATCCGGAAATGATGCACAAAATATAGAAAATAACACGTACTTAGAACACCTTTTGTCTGTACCTTTCTAATAATAATAATTAAAAATAATAATGTATAAAGCTAGAGACTTTGTTTGTTTGTTTGTTTGTTTGTTTGTTTGTTTGAATGTGCTATCTGTGGATGGATCTAAATTCTAATGAAAAATTCATTTTGCATCTTCCATCACACATCACAATACGACCTACGAGGAGAGGGTCTACAAAATTAAACACAAAACGCTAGCTAGTTATTAGTATTTAATTTACTTTTTTATTTCATTTGAATGGCATGTCCTAATGGTACTCGAACAAATAAATGTATAACGGAGTGGACTGTATTTACTTAAATCACTACATCAAGTGTTCGTCGCAATAGCAACAATTTATTCACCACTTGCCTTTATTTTGAGCGACTTGTGTTCTGTTTGCTCCATTACTAGCAAGACTAACGCTTTAATATTGTAATAATACGTTTTAACCAAAAAGTTTCCCATAAAAATTATTTTTTTAAATTAATATTACTAACAAAATTATTAAATTAATATTATTTAAAAAAAGAAGCTTTTATATCATATAATAAAACCCTTCAAAAAACAATTCGAAGCTGGAGCAAGGAAACAGATAAGACAATTATTGCAATTTAAAAAAAACCTTGATGTCATCGTGCTCAGATTCACGTGTCTTTTTCATTGAGTTCAATAGTGGAATATGTTTTGATTGAAGCAATTATTCTGAATTTATATATTTGAACTTGAGTTTGGAGACAATAATAACAGACTCGTATCATTCTCAATTATAAAAAAATCTAATAACAATTGTCTGATATTTCTAGTATTTTGCTTTTAAAGAGCAAGAGAAAATTATCATGAAACAAAAATTAATAATTCGAACATAAGTTCAAATAGTGTTATAAATATGCTAGTGTTAAAAATGGCTGCAAAAAATTAACAAATTTTTAGTATATAATATACTATATTTAATTTTACTTTAATTCTTCACTTCTTCTTCTCTTCAATGAAAAAAAAGAAACAAATATTTTTTAATGATCAAAAACTTTATTGTACCTATTATAAAATTCAAAGAGATCTATTTGTATGGATGGTGTATAGATAACATAATTTGGTTTAATTCATACATTTAAACATTTCAAGCTTCATTCAATTCAATCTAAACTAATATTATAAAAA